TCTCCAGAGAGACACTGTTGCTCTTCAGTACTATAAGAGGTCCCTAACAGCAGACTTTCCCATGGCAATACGTCTTTTAATTTCCTGGCTGCTGGTGCCAAGAGTGTTGGCTGTGGAGCCAAGCAGATTAAAGTTGTTAACAATCTCAATCTCTTCACCATCCATCAAGGTGCTGCCAATTGGTCCAGTGGTGAGAATCTCTGTCTTCTTGACATTGAGCCTCAATCCATATTGAAAGCTGCAGTCCTTGACCCTCTGCAGCAAGCGCTTCAGGTCCTCCTCAGTATCAGCAAGCAGGGTTGTGTGCATAATGCAGATTGTTGATAGATCTTCCACCAATCCTGACCCCACATTTCTCCTCATAGAACCCAGCCTCCCAGATGATCTGTTCTGCATACAGGTTGAAAAGGTATGGAGACAGGACACATCCCTGGTGTACAGAAAATAAGTTTGTTTGTTAAAGCTATCTACTTGTGTTATGTCTGTTATAGCAACACTTGACAAACTAATACCCTTTCTTTCCTTCTGTCCTGTTCCTTTCAACACTTACTGGACACCTGAGTGCCATGTAGCTTATTATATAGGAGAAAACAAGAGATATAAACAGCTTGTCCTTAATAAGCTCATACTTTCTGCACAAATTATTATTGACAGTAATACATTGAGGGCAGTCAACTACCAGAGTGTGGTAATGAACTAGGGTGGGGAGGTAACAGGTGGTTTTTGTTGAGGAGGATCATTTTTAACTGCCTTAAAGGATAATCCATTCAAACAGCTTCTTGTCATTCTTTAACTGTCCTGACTTCTTGTAAAATACTCTAGCTCCTGCTGTTTGCTTTTTAAATCCTTGGAGTGTGTTTCTCCCAGGTAGATTGCTGTCTAAAACTAGATTTCAAAACCACCTTGTCTGATACCATCCTTTACTTCCTGGTTAGATGGTTTTTGTTTTCTTGTACACACCTCAGTTACAGCAAGTGTCATACTACAGTCTACCTATAGGTTTATTCACCTCTCTTTTTTACTAGATTGTGATTGTTTCAAGAAAAAAGAATCTTACATATTTGTAAATGACCTTTTATTTTCAAAGTGGCATTACTGGAATACTGTAGATACTCAATAAAACTTTATTAAATTAAGCATGAGTTGCTTATTTGCAAAAGAAAGTTCAATCTAGGTCCCTTAATGATGAAGCTATTGAGATTATTCTGCATAGCCCCCAGCAACATGCTCTATTCAGTAAATAAATTTCTGTCAGTTCTGCCTCTGAGGTTCCCTTATTGGAAATAATGCTAGAAATAAGAAGTTGTTGCTGTTGTTGTTGTGTACTGTCAGGAACCTACCCATAGTTGACCCTCCAGTGAGTTTTCAGAGTCAGTTAATTGCTGGGGAGGAGACTGTCCATCCTTCTCCCGCAGAGCTGCTGGTGTATTTGAACCTTGTTTCTTTGGGATTGCAGCACAGCTTCTTATCACTAGGCCATCAGAGCTCCCTAGAGATAAGGAAACATATTAAATCTGCTTCAGTGGGTAAAGTAACATTTTCTTTTTTAAAGTAACATTTTCATGTAAAATTGAGTGGAATGTTCTGAACAGGGCTTGGGAAAAAGAAATATTTATTTCAGGGTTAGCATTGGAGATTGCCTTTTCTTCTGCGCTTTGGGCCTCGAAGTTTCACTCTCACTTCATCCAGTCAGAATTGACAGGTCAGTCAGCTGACCCTCCCATGGGTTTTCAAAGGCTGTAAATTGCCTGAGAAAAGATTGCCCATCTCTTTCCAGTGGAGCAGTTAATAGATTTGAATTGCCTGCCTTTGGGCTGGCAGGGCAACTCCCTACAGAATAGGCCACCACAGCCTGGTTTCAGAGCTAGTAGTATTGAGGATTTCCATTTTTGCCTGTGTTAGGACTGTGTTGTGCAGTGTTAGGGCATGAAAGCATGGCCTTAATAGGAGCTAGAGTGTGAAAGCCATGCCATGGTCTACAAGGGTTGCTTCCAGGAACTCACCAATCTAGGCCCAGGGAAGGACAGCATTAGAAATGCCTACTACTTCTATTGTTGCTGTGGTATACCACTAAATCAAAACCCACCCATAACTGGCCTACCAGTTTGTTTTCAGGGGCAGTAAATTGCATGGGAGGAGGGAGATTGCCCATCTTTCTCCCGCGGACTAGCTGGTGGATTTGAACCACAGCGGCTATTTCTAGATTTGACTGGAGGTTCACGAATCTCTCTTGCATCTGTCCCTAGTTCTGTCATCCTAGGTACACCATGCAGCCTTTTCCTCTCTGCAGTGGTACATCCTTCCTGGCAGTATAGCTCTCTCTGCATTTGTGTTTGTCTCTCTTCCAGCAACATTTACCTGAGTTCTGGTGACTGTGACTTAGTGTGTTGTGTTACTAACAAAAAGACCAGTGGGTACAAACCACCAATTGCTCCCTGAAAGAAAGATGAGAAGACTTACCCACAAAGATTTACAGACCTGGAAATTCTATAAAAGGGAGGTAGGGATCAGATCAGCTTGAAGTCAGTCAGTGGGTTGAGGAAAATCTTTAGGGTGGAACAATCAGTTATGAGGTATAAGTGAGAAAGACCTCATTTTTTTTTCTGACCCTAGTTAACCTTTCACCAGGAATTTAGGCCTTTGTCCGACAAAAGTCAGAAAGACTCCTAGATTTTGCTTATTTTCCATCATCTGTCCCCTGAGAAAACCATTGCAGAACTTCTACTGGCACAAATCAAGGGGAAAGGAAAAGTTCGTGGAGGGAAAAAAGCCAGCACCACAGATTGCTATCTCAGAATACTGTCCCTGTCACAGTAGTCCTCTTGCAAATGTTGTGCCTCATCAAAACTGCAAGAATTAAAGGACAAAGTACAAGTAAGGAGTTTAAAATAGTTCTTAGTACATAGACAGTCCGTGCTTGGTAAATGTTCTGTTCTTCTTAGCTACTGTCAAGTAGGCCCTCTACTCATGGAGACCTCAGGCACAACAGGATTGAATAGTTGTAATCCAAAGAATGTTTATGAGCTAGTCTAAAAAAAAAAAAATATCATCAAGCTTTTCTTCTACATTAAACCTTCAGTATTATTATCTTGGATTTCTGAACTCATGGTGGGACCTGGCTTTCTGCCCCAAATCAGGTTGTCCAGATAAATCCCACCTACGCTCAAAGTAGTGCCATGCAGGTGATCTTTATGATCTATTCCCAAGGTGAGTTTAGTTGGGAGGCTTGGTCCCTTTTCTGTTTTCCTTGGGAATAGGGCTAGCTCTTGTGGCCTAGTGATAAGGATTTGCACTAGAAACCCAAAGGTATGCAGCTTGAATCCACCAGCTGCTCTATGAGAGAAAGATGGACAATCTCCTTCCATGCAAGTAACTGTCCTGAAAACTCAGTGGAGAGTCAGCTATGGGGTGGTTCTGACTCGAAGGCACACAACAACAAGAGCAAAAGAGACGACCCTCAAGGAGATGGATTGACATAGTGACAGTCACAGTCGGTTTAAGCATGTTGTGAAGGACGGTCCAGTATAGGGCAAGGTTCTGATGTTCCGAAGATTATCAGGCGTTGTAGTTTATTTACCGAAAGGCATTTTAAACAACACTGTTCCTCTAAAATATTTTTCCTTCCTCTTAGAATTGATTTCCCTCTCAGCTCCCAGCCCACATAAAACTCAGTCACAAGTCCAGTTGACACTTCAGTCTAAGCACGGGTCCAGATGCTGCTACTCTCCTTTCTGGTAGCCATCTACCTCCACTACTCAGAGTAGACAATGATATTTAAATTAAGAAGCAGCATGCAATTTTTGGCATTGACATCTTCGATTAAGTTCGGCAAGCATTTATTGAGCACCTACAGAAGTCAAAATACTGTTTCTTTAAATATATTTGGGTCTTAAATACTTAGACTGGCTTAGCTACTTAATTTGGATTGCCTTCAACGTTTCATATGATGATTAAATATTAAAATAAAAAATATTTGCACAGTTATTTGAAACTATAAACTTTTGGTGGGGATTATTGCTGCTACAGTATTAATATTAATTAATATTATTGCAATAACAACTCTGGCTTTCCAGATAAGCTGTAGAGAGCAGGCTGCAAGGCTAACAGACGCAAATGGTCAGGGGAAGTGCCTCCTCCACCTTCGGCACCAAAGAGGCGTGGCCTTAAGGAATATGCTCCTCTAAGCCCCGCCCACCACCCCGCCTCTACCGTCGGCGCAGCGTAGGCGGTTACCATGGGGATGACGTCTAGAAGGCGGGCCTGGGCGGAGCTATGGAGAGGAGGAGGAAGATGGCGGGAGGGCGGCTCTGAGGAGACCTCGGCGGCGGCGGAGGAGGAGAGAAGCGCAGCGCCGCGCCGCGCCGGGGCCCATGTGGGGAGGAGTCGGAGTCGCTGTTGCCGCCGCCGCCGCCGCCTGTAGCTGTTGGACCCGAGTGGGAGTAAGAGGGAAACGGCAGGATGAAGTTCGCCGAGCACCTCTCTGCGCACATCACTCCCGAGTGGAGGAAGCAATACATCCAGTATGAGGTACCAGCAGCGCCCGCGCTGTGGGAGGATTCAGAGGGGCCACCAACTCGTCCAGCTCCGACCTCCACCGCCACCTTCCCCTCCCGCTGCCCGCCACGCTGGGGTGGACTCTGACCTGGTGCCGCGGGGAGCCACTGCGGCATCTCCGCGGCGGCCGGCTCCCTCCCGGCCCGCTGTCCTTCCCCTCCCCCGCAGCCCCGCTGCCGCCGGGGTAACGGATATGCTGGCGGCGGACCTGGAGGAAGGGGCACTGCCCGGGCCTGGGCTGGGGCACCGCGGAGGGAGGGCAAGCCGCAGGTGGGGCGGTCGTGGGTGCGAGATTAGCCGCGGGGTCGCGGCAGTTCTGCGCTCACTCCCCACTCGCCCTGACCTCCCGTCCCCACCCTGGGCGAGCGCCCCCTTGTCAAGGTTAGGTCTCCTTTCTCCCTGCTCTCCTCTCTCCCGGGACTCGTCTTCCGAGATAAGCCCCCTCCAGTGATTGCCTCCGAGTCCTTCATTCCTTGGAGCCTTTCAGGTGTTTACTAGCCCACTGTTGACAAAGGCTTTGTAACCAGTTTGAAACTTGATTGAAATGTTTATTACCTAGTGATTTCAGTCTGCAAACACTGAGAGAAACTCTTCTGTTTTGATGAAAGGACAAGTGACTGTTTTTACTGATTGCATGAAGTATACAAAGTAACTACATCTCTTGGTTTGGACTCTTCTGTTGTTTTGGAATGGAGTGGTGGTGGGGGGTAGTGGGAGGAGAGTAGAATTGTTAAAATTTTCAGATTTTATTTAATAAAGTTTTTGTTTGCTAGGGAGAAAATTACCGTAAAGGGTAAACAATGTACTTTTCACCCATACCAATGGATAACAGAATTCATGCTCTCGTCCCCTTCCCCCTCCCAGTCTCTGTGATAGAGGAATAATAGCGGTAATAAGCGTGCCATTACTTTACATTAATTCAGGGAAAAGTAAAGATACTGAACTCATTTGTATATTTAGAAGACAGCATACCTCAAGGGCTGTAAACATTTAAATAGATTATTTTCTTTAACTAGCAGTTCAGCTCCTGGATAGAGAAAAGACTGGTCTGTAACCTCCAGGAATTCACATGTATGTTATGTGCAGGAACAAAGAGTATAAAATCAATAGAACACACATGCTGCCTAAATTTTATGAATTAAATTATTTTAGTCTTCTGTTTACTTTCTACTTTAAATTAAATGATAAGGATATTTGAGCAGTAGCAATGAGTTTATTTATTCATCTAGTCATTATAATAATTGGAGATAGGGAAAGTGATGTAGATAGGTTACACAAAACCTTAAAGGATGTAAAATAAACTCATTTGTAATAAATGGGTTTGTGTGGTTTGTTTGTTTTTTTTTATTGCCAGCAAAGAAAGCTTTAGAATTGGTAATGTTTTTTGCCACTTAATTTATTTACAGTGTTTTATAGCAATGCTTTGTAAAATTAGAATGAAATAGGGATCTAGCATATCTACAAGCTGTAGAGTTTTTGATTTATTGTTTCTAATAATAGTTTTAAAATCTTGGCTTGAGTCCAGATGATGGTTTTTTATTGAAAGAAGAGCACTGGTCTTTCATCCTTCTAGTAGTAATTTTCAGCACCACTGTCAGTTCTTCATGGAGGCATAGGACATAAATATTGCTTCACAACATCTTCTACTTTTTATATTGTATGATATGCTTGATTTGGGAAGAAGTAATAGTGACTGGATGTATGGTATATGATTCATTTTAAGTATTACAGCCCTTAACTGTTCCATAGACTTGTATTAATCTGGAATATTAGGAGACGGACGGAGAAGCATATGATTTAATTAGGAAATGCAGTTACCTCTTGATTTGTAATGTCAGCTTTGTGACTGGAGTAACCACAGTGATTCTGGGACTTCTTATTCATAGTCCATTTGGTTGCTTTATTCACGTAGACCATTTGAGTGTTAACTCTAATGGTTACTGTAGGTTGTTCACAATGGGACAAAATTCCTGAACCTAAATCAACCTGAATTATCTTGTCTTGGCCATTTATTGTTTTTGAAAATTTCACTTACTCTTGGTAATTGAAATTTAATTCTGTAGAGATTTTCTACTCTGTGGCTCCTAACATGGGTAAGCTCATTGTTTGGGAGGCAGAATTGTCTGAGGGACACTTTTCTCTGAGTTGGTGCCATTAAAGAAATGTTTATAGAATTATGTGTTGTTTTGTTTTTATTTTTTTAAATCATGGGTTAGTGGCAGTCCTTTAAAAATAATAAAGCCACTAGGTAAGAGTTGGTTCTGATTCATAGCGACCCCCCATCCCATTCTGAGGCTGTAAATCTTTATGGGAGGAGATTGCCCACCTTTCTGTTAAGGTGTGGCTGGTGAACTGAACTGCTGATCTTTTGGTTAGCAGCACAATGCATTGTATATTGTGCTGCTAGCACTCCTTAAATAAGTCTTTAGGGTCCAGGAATTTTGACCACTTAAAAACTTTGGGGGGAAATGACATACATAAGAGATGTATGAGCCTTTGTCTGAGAAAAGGACCTTTCATAAAGTAATAATATGTAGGTCTGTATGAAAATAATGATCCTAATATACTGTTAGTAGAGCAAACACTGTAATTTCTTTTTCAAGCATTAGTGATTCTATTTTACTATATTACCTTTTATTTTATTTTATTTTTTGCCTATGGGGTTTTCCAGCACTGTGAACCATTCAGAGCTATTCAGAGTCTGGTTTTTGAGTTGTTTTGCTGTATTAAATATTACTTGCAAATGGAGAATTGGATAGAACTGACCTTATGTGTTAAGTCTGTGTTTATCAATAGTAGTAGATGCACACAGTTACATGAAAAGTGGTAGTCCTTTTATAAGTTAACCATGAGACCCTGGGGACAATAATTTTGCCTTTCTAAACTTCTTTGTTATTCCATATAAGAATATAGGTTTGGAACTTTTCAGCATTCATTCTAGTTCATAGATTCTTTGATTTAAGTTTGGTACTTATTCCTTGTATTGCTTTTTAAAGAATAGTTTTAGTGAGTCATTAATATAGTTTTTAATTATAGTTTGTGGCATTCATAGACTTCTCTTTTGTAGGCAAAATAATAAAATAGAGAATATAGCAACGTGAAAAAACTGCATAAGAAAATATTTGATTCAAGTTTGTGGATAATTTTTAAGAAGAATAAACACAAACGAGCTTAATCTATTCCTGCTTCCTATAATATGTTTGAGTGTAAATCTTGACATAAGATAGAGCATTAACAAGTCTTTCTAGATTTTAAACCATATTTTTATAATCAGTTCTTATATTCTTTAGGTTTCTGTAGTCAGTTAATCAGAGTTAGACCAATTAAAACCAAATAGATAGATGTTAGAGAACGCTTTACAGATTATTAGCAAAAGCAGTAAATACATTGGTGTGGATTTGGGGTTTCTTCCTTAGGGACTTGTGCAGCTTTGGTTCCTTAGAAACCAGGAAATTTTTTGTTTTCATTGTGTACTATAATTTTGCAAGATACTGAAATGAGGACAGTAAATTACAAGATATTAGAGCAGACAGGGATTTAGAGGTCACCCTCTTTGTTTTTTCCAGGCAAGAAATTGAGAGGTTAGGCACTTAGACAAGTATATATATGTAGCAAATCTTTGCAGCACTAAATGTGTAAAATGAAATGACTTCCTCTTTCTGGGATTTAGGTTTAGCACCTGTGAATTGAGAGGACTGTACTTGATGGTTTCTAAACTCTCAGCCCCATATTATCTAAGGACTGTTGATGAATTAGAAATTTCTGTGGTTTGTGTGTGTAAGATTGAATCCTATTTGGTAAATAAAGAGAGTAGAATTTAAAGTAGTGTTATTAATTGCATCATAGATAACCTTTTTAGAACAAATTTGCTGAGATAGTAATCTGAAAGGAAAGTTGTTCCTAATTATGATTTATGTTCTTGTTGTGTGATTTGGGAAAGAAGAGATCATGTGTAAATGACATTTCCTTGATTTTGAAGTAAAAGAAAACATTTTATGATTTTCATTTATAGAACTCTCCTGTGAGAACACTTATATTTGCAGGCTTCAGTTTCTCAAAGGTATTATATTCATTTGTTAGGGTTAAATTGCCTTGCTGGAACTTGTTTGAAATTTCCAGTTTGGCCACCCGATGGGGCACAAACCACATGTTTTCTTTCAGGCGCTTCTCATACAAGTGAAAAGTATGATGTATTTAAGATATACTAGCAAATGATTTTGTTAGTCAGGTACTTTGCATTTATAAGTGAGTGAGTGAATAGTTGTATAAGATGGGGATCTTCTTCATTATTTTTGTAAAGTGTTTTGAGGTGGTTATTCCAGAAAGATTATACTTAACTGTCCTTGGAAGGTTGGCTTTAGGTAAGATTTTTGGGGAAAGATCCGCATCATAAGACCCTAAAAATTTCATTTGCTATGGGATGACTCTGGGAAATTAGCCCTAACTTCAAATTCAGTCATGATCTGGAAAGCAATTGAAAGACTGATTGAATGGTGTTGGCTAGAGGGCTAGAGTTTTCAAGAATATTTAAGGGAGTGCTCAAAACTTCATGAAGAAAGAGAACGTAGTACTGTGGAGTCAGAACTAACCCATAACTGACCCTCCAGTGGGTTTCCAAGTAAATTACACAGCAAGCGATTGCCCACCTTCTCCCTCACAGCAGCTTGTGGATTTGAACACTGTGCCTTTGGGATGGCCGTGCGACTCCTGGCATTCACTAAGCCACCAGAGATCATCCCCTAGAGCTTTTATGTATAACAGAAGGACAAGGATTGATTTTGTACCTTCATTTATAGGTGCTCTGAGAGAAAGAGGATTGGCAATGATCTCCCTAGTTTGTTTCTCGTTAGCAAATAACAGTTTATGACCATGATTTAATGATTTTATTAATAGCATTTAGTTTAACCTAACCCTTACAAGATGGACATGATTAAAAGACTTCAGTTACGAATCCTTCGCATTAATAGCAGTTT